CCCCCGCCCTGCCCCTCCTGCCCCTCCCCTTGCTCCTGCCCCTGATCTTGCCCCCCGCCGCCTGCCCCATCTGTTCCCGCCTCCCGGGCCAGCCAGTGATCCAGCAGGTTCAGGGTGCAGCCACACAGCCGCGAACTGGGGTTGCCGCTGCACGCCAACGCGCGGAAGGCGGTCACCAGCTCCCGCACCTCGCCGAGGGTGAGCCCCTGCGTCTGGACTGCCCGCGCCACCAGGGAGTTCTGCTGCTGCTGCTGCTGCTGCTGCTGCTGCTGTTGTTGCTGTTGCTGCTGCTGTTGCTGCTGCTGTTGCTGCTGGTTGTGGTGGTGGTGGTGTTGCTCCTGGCGCTGGCGCTCGCGCGCGCCCTGGCGCCACGCAATGAGGCACGCCAGGGTGGCGGCGTGAGTCAGGTCCTGGCGCACGCGCAGCAGCCGGGACGGCTCCACCAAGGACTGGTTCTCGACGCACGACAAGGCCTGCGGCGGTCAAAGCCGAGGCCGCGGATTTGGAGGCACGAGCGCGTGGGCGCGGGCGCATTTCAGTGTGGGTTGGCGTGCGCCCGGCGCAGCCGTTGTTTGCTCGTAATCCACAGCAGAGGTGCACCTCAAAGTCAGCAATCCGGTCTCGTCCTTGAATTCTGCCAGAAACCCGCCCACCTTCTGCGTCGCGGCGAGCAGGTCATGAAGGCCGTGCGGGGCCCTCTCCAGGCGCAGCGCGATGCTGTCAGCGGCGGCAGCCGGCGCCAGCAGCGCAGCGAGGCCCGTCTCGCGCCTCACAAACTCTCCGCGCTGCGCGAGCACCGTTCTCACGCGCCTCAGCCGCACGAAGAGGCCGTGCCTGGGGGGGGGGGGGAGCGCAGATGAGTAAGGGGGCCCTGCAACTCCCCCTCGGTGCACCAAAGGCACCCACCCGCTACAAGCACCGGCTGCAAGGTTCCCGTGTAATATTAACAGCTACATCAGACTCTGCTGATACTTGGAAAACCCTGAGATACAGGTATCTCGCACCTGGCCAGGGCGACGCCGTGCACCGCGCTGCCGCACGCGTCGCGCATGTGAGTGGATGCAAGGCACAGCGACACGAGGTCGGCTGGCGAGTGGACTCGCGTAATTATTTCTCTCATCACGTCGAATGGTGGAGCGTTCGCGGCCATTGTTGCCCGGGCGGGGCTTCGAGGCACACCCAGCCGGAGTGATGACCCGCGCTGGGCCGCACCGTGCAACGGCACCGCACCTGGTGCTTGTTAATACTAATTCAGACTCATTTAAAAGGCGGTAAGGAGGTACAGCCGTGCATGGCAGTCGAGGAGGTGGAGTGCGGAGCCTTCGCGTTCCATTCTTGCAAGATCAATTGCAATTAGGTGCAGCGTAGCAGAATTCATCAGAAATATCAAGGCCTCCTCGAGCGTGGCTGCCACCGACCGCGGCCCCTTGGCTGTGTCGACCGGCCCTGGTCTGCACTCCTACTGTTGCCCCGCTGCCGGTGACTCCTGGCCCACACATTAAACTACCTTGTGGATATTGCGGAGCAGCTGTCATCGAACTATCACTTGCGTGTGTGTTGGGCGCGCTTTTAGCGTGAGAGCCGGCCCAGCACAAAGCAGGTGGCCATGAGAGGACCCTGAAATCTGGGAGGCGATCTTGCGAAAAAGATAGGGTCCGGATTTTGGCGCCCAGGGGGACCAGGGGCCCAACACTATGTGCAATCTAATGTTTTGATTGCTGCCTGCTGTTGGTCCCTTGCAACTGGTACTCTGCACTGAAAGGCAAGCAGAGCGCGCCTGGCATTCCAGACAATCAACTGCTTGCCAGCCACGCAGTCTGCACTCGGTTGCGCTCCAAGCTCAATTCCCTCTTTAATATCGTTGTCAGGAGCGTTTCAGGCTCAATGACCTGCAGTGCGGGCGGCAGGGCGCAAAAGGCATCTGGGGCAGGCGCAACATCACAGGCTGCTGGGCTGGGTCAACTTTTGAAAACTCTGATCACATGATGGACCCGCCAAGCGCCGGACCCTACTCAGCGTGCGGTGTGATGAAGCGTGTGACTTGAGGCGCGGCACGACCACTTCGCAGCGCGAGCGGCAATGACAGCTCAAGCGGGTCACTCGGTCACCACGCAGTCAAACGGATTGAATGCAGCAGAGCTGACGTGAGCCGCCAGGGCAACGTCGCGTAGTCTCGCAAAACGCAACCGCGTCAACCTTACACCCGGCCCTAGAGTGCCTCTCCCACGGTGGTGGAAGTAGTGGCGTGTTTCCCGCATGTGTGGAATGGTCCTTGGAATGCTACATGTGGCACCTAGACGTCAGCATATCTCCCAGGAGCACGGCCCTCCCTTCAACAACGTGAAGTCCCTTGCAATTTTGTCAACGATCTGTCAGGGCGCCACAACGATCTCGCAACTTTGCACGAAGCTCGTACCTGCCCATTTGTTTCCCAACATTCGCAGCAAAACAGCGATTTGCACCGCAGCTGTTAGGCCACAGACCTTGCGGCCTCGGTGAACTGCAGCAAGCTCAAGCAGAAGAGCACGGCGGGAGCGCGCGCAGCAGCACGAAGCGGAAGCACATCACTGTAGTGCTTCGCGCGCGCTCATGCACGGACGCTTGCCTGCAGCAGCATGCAGGGCATAGGTTCCAGGCCCACGCTGCTGGCGGGCGGCCACGCAGTCGTTGCTGACCGAGAGCCAGCGCAATGGCGCATGGGCGGCGCGGGCGGCGGCGTCGGCGGCGGCGGCGGGGCGGCGCCTGCGTTCGGCTGGCCTCAGCAGCCCCCGCTCCTGCCTCCTCATGCGCAATCCCCGCCCTCCCACTGGACACCTGGCGCCCCGCCCGTGCGGCAATCGGCCCCCGGTGACGGCGGCGGCGGTGCAAGTGAAGGCGCGTTCAGTGGCGGCAGCGACGGGGGTAGCAGCAGCAGCGGCAGCGGCAGCAGCAGCGGCAGCGGCAGCGGCAGCGGCAGTGGCGACGACGCGACCACCTCGGACGGCAGCGGGGGCGGCGGCAGCGGCAGCGGCGGCAGCGGCGGCAGCGATGACGGCGGCAGCAGC